AGAGGAGAGAGTGGAGGGGGGGATAAAGGAGAGAAAGGGCAAAGAAAACAGCCGCTCTGACCAAACTATGTCAAAATGGAAGTGGAAAGAACAAGGCAGAGACAGAAACGGGGAAGAAAACGAAGTGGGTTTCAACCAAAATATGACAAAACTTCAATGGACCTCAAACATGGGGTGGGGGGCTGGGGGTTAGAAAGAGCTACACAGTCACAGTGGCTCAATCCAGTGGTTTAAAAGCGGTAACAGACACACCGCACCAATGTGTGTGTATGTGTGTGTGTGTGTGTGTGCTTTTACATGGCTGTGTGTGTGCGTGCATGTGTTGGCACGCATGTGAAGTTGTGTAACGAGTTACAGCTTTTTACGTTTATGGCTGTCTGTTGACCACGGTGGCCTTATTCCCTTAACTTCTAATGAAGAATCACCAACTCTTCAGCAGCAGGGGTTTAATGTTTAGCCCTAATGTTCCCTAGGACATGCCCTTTGAGCAGTGTGTGTGTGTGTGTGTGTGTGTGGACACACTCTTGCGCATTTTGTTCCACCAGATAACATCAGCATGTTGATTCAGGAAAAAAAAGGCGTAGGGGTGGGTGGGGTATTTGGGGCGTGTGCATAAATAAGTGTGTGTCTGCTCTAATGAGACACAAATAAATAAGAAACAAATGAAAAGAAAGGTCAGCTCATCTTCTTCTTTTGGACACTTTTCTAGAGCAAATGAAAAGTGTTAAGTAAGAGAGAGAGAAAGAGAAAGAAAGAGGTCGCCCTCATTCCACCCGTCCACCCCCCACATCCACATCCCTCTCTCCTCCCTTCTTTCTCTCCCTCTCTCTCTCACTCCAGGCTCTAAACAGGATAAGGGCTTCATATGCCAAGTGGAATGTGTGACGCAAGCCTCAGCCTTGAAACAAAGCACAGGAAACAGGGAGAGACAGAGACGGAGAAACACACACACACACACACACACACATAGAGAGAGAGAAAGAAAGAGAGAGGTGTGTGTATTATACAGGATGCAGTGAAACCAGAGGTAAGACAAAGAAGCTCAGGTGTGACTGACTGAACACACACACACACCTGTCACATATGCTCCATGTGAGTGTGTAACACTGCACTCAGCTCTGACACCACGCAGCCACACTGAGGGTCATCTCTCACACAAGCTCCAGCATCATATTCAGCCTGGCTGTCAATATGATCTACAGCTGGAGCCTCAATCAATCAATTAATCAATGAGTAGAGTAACAGTAAGGTGAAAACAGTTTGGGAGATCAATGAATCATTTCAGTTGTTTAATCAAAAAAAATGGCAAATTCTTGCTGATTACAGTGACTTAAATGTGACATTTTGGGGCTTTTGTGTGTTTTTTATTATTTTAAATGAAATATCTTTAAATTTTGGGACAAAATAAGATACTTAAATGTGTCACCTTGGGATCTCAGAATTTGTAATGGACCAGTTTTCCTTTTTCTTTACATTTCTATAACTAAACTACACATGATGAGGACAAATCAAACATCATCTAAGGCCTTTAACTGATCACACTGATTTTAATATCTGTACCAAATCTCTAAACCTATTGTAAACTAGATCAAAATCACACACTGTGCGGTCACAGAATATGCCATTAACACTGAAGAAAAAGAGAGGAACCAACTCCACAGACGGAGACACATCACTATAAATGAGTCTCTCTTCCTTCCTCACAAGCCTATACTGGACCCAGTTTCAAACATTTTAATTAATCAAACCACACTATGCTCTATAAAAGGCTGTAAAGGCTATAAATAGCAGAGTCTCCGCTGCCTGACTGTCGGGTTACATCAGTTATCAGCCACTGTTAAGACCATTAGCCGACTGCCAATCTTTTTCTTTATTTTAACAGCAACAGATGTGCCACAAAATCAAGAAACTGCTATAAAAACAACTTCATTAACTAATGAGGCTGATGAACCAAACACAGGCAGCCGGATCTTATTAAAAAAGACCCACAACTCTGAATTAAGGACTTTTTTTTCTTCCCCACAATAAAGTCTGCTTTATTACAACACATCATCTACTGCCACATCTAACCTTTAAAAGACCGCGCAGCAATTACAGGTTTCACCACAGCACATCCGAGAGGAAATAAGAGCAGGGTGCCGGGGTCACCGTCTCTAAGTGGCCACAGCAACATCAGAGGGAGATCACGGTGTCAAACTTACTTCTCAGATGGTTTGTACAGATCTATTCCAGGAGGGCAGACGGTAGTTTCACAGCTGCCTTGCTGAACGGCAGAGGCTCCCTCAGAAACTCTATTGAGGCAACTCCGGTGAAAAAGTGACGCAGGCGACGATCGGCAGCGCTCCGCTGTGTCACTGACATGAGAGAAAAAACAAGAGTCCACTGATCGATGGCTCCACAAAACTTCCCGAAGTTACGAAACTCCCTGTCTCTTTCTCTCTATCTATCTGTGTGTGTGTGTGTGTGTGTCTCTCTCTCTCCGGTTTTGTCGTTTAGAAACTGTTGCTGTCACATGATCCGGTCTGTCTGTCTGTTGTCCATGGGGTCGGGCCGCTGGGCGGGACCGGGGCGGGGTGGTCCAGTTCGTGTGTGTGCGTGTGTGTGTGGGGTTGGGTGTGTAGACCTATGTGTTGCAATATTCTTTTCAAGTGTGAAGACAACAGACGTGGAGGAAGTAAAGCTTCTTTTACTTAGGCTACAGGAAAAGCAATAGCAAGAACAGTTTTACTACAAAAAGATAGAAATATGACAATGAAGACATGTGAAGTAAAAGTCCTGCATTTTACTTGAACCATACTCCCTGTGCAGAATGGCCCATTTCAGAAAATATAGTATTTTGACTTGATTACAATTATGCATCAATGTGCGTGCGTCACTCTGTTGTCCAACTGGTGAAGTAGGCTACAACACAGTTTTGCCTTCAACATTAACTTGGATGCACGATAATATCGGTACGTCATCAGTAATTGCCGATAGTGGTTTTAAAATTAACTTTCAAAATCAGCCAACATGCTTTATCTTATTTTGCACATTGAATGAATATAACATACATTAAAAAGCATTCTATTTCATGTCTCCATCTGCTGGTGGGCCATCACGATAAGAGTATGCATGCATAATATCTTAATTTCCCTGCAAAAGAGACTTGGTGATAACTAAAATTAGGTGGGGAATTAAGTGGATATATCGATATCAGTTATCGGCCAAACAAGTTGTTACATATATCAGCATATCGGATATCTGCAAAAAAATCCAATATTGTGCCTCCCTATTTATTTGTTGCTTATATTTTGTAGGCTTGTACTGATCGTAATCTGCAAAGTAACCAGTAGCCTAACTAAAGTGATCAAATGCATGTAGTGAAATAAAACATATAATATTCCCTCTGAATTATACTGGAGTACAATAAGGCCTATATAAAGTAGCAGAAAATTGAAATAGGGGAGACCAGGGTGGGTGTACCATGGGATATTTGTAACCAGGCCCCCAGGGAATCTCCCTGCAGCTAATCTTTCCCAGTGGCCACTATTGGTATTGCAGCATAAAAATCCCCTGCTGCCCGAAAAGCATTTTCCCCATAGACCACCATTAAAAAAGAGACACCTGTAAAACTGTTGACAGGACGTTTCAAACTGCAAACAAGGTCAGTTATGACTTTCTATTATGATTTTTTTTTATCCATTGGAATAAATAGGCACCATCTTGGCTTCTGGAATCATTATAAATCCATCGTTCTAACACTTTAAATTTCTCCAACCAGGAACAAGCTACAAATCATCCGATTCACTCTGCACATGCTTAGTTTAGTCCTTATTCCTCATGTGAGAAATTAGCACTCTGTGACCAACACAGTCAAGTTTTTAAGGAAAAACTAATTCTGGGCCAAGAAAGTACGTTTTTACTTTATTTATTTTATAATATAATAGTTTTTGCTGTTTGTAGTTAAGTCATCAAGCTTAAATCATGTTTATTATGTGTCTATGTAGATTCCTTTCATGCAAGTTGTTAGCACTAATGTTTTAGCTGTTGGCTGTAAGGTGAGCTGGTGTGTGTCTACAAGAGTCTTAGTTAGATGTAACAACATATGAAAAAATATAATTTCTGAGACTAAACCATGCATTTTCTATATATGTTACAGCTACACCATTTGATAGTAGACACATGTAACTAGGTTGTATCAAATTTTGAATGCACTTACAAGAGTCCCAAGATATAGACAGAAATGTGAAAAATGTTACAACAGTCCCTGCTCTCCCCTACTCAAGTAAAGTACAAGCTCTCAAAATTGTGGGCTACTTAAGTACAATACTTGAGTAAATGTAGCGTACCTCTGGAAGACAACAATTTGGAACTTTACAAGCCATTTTAGTTCTAATCTTTATCAACAGCAGCAACCTGCTATTAATGAAACTGCACAGTGTGCTTTGTGTGTAGTACTATATGAATTTATCTATTAACCTTGTGTGTTTGTGCCTGTGTTTGGATATGTGCCTGTGCATGTTTGTGTGTGTATGTGTGTGTGTGTGTGTGTGTGTGTGTAGAGGGAAGAGGAAGGCCTGGGCGTGACAAGGAACAAACGCTTCCCACAAGGAACTGCATAACTGTTACAAGGGAGGGACAGACAATTATAGGGCGAAGTGTAAAACAGATTATATAATTTAATGTGCAACACTTGTCACTCATCAAAATACTAATTTTTGATTGGCTTACAGGTGCACATTAAAAATTATGTTTCAGGACACTCCAAACACAGTTCCTGTCAACAGTTGGCAGTTTAACTACCACCGCTGATCTAAATACCCACGGTCTTTCAAAGTGCAGCCAACCATAGCAACAATATTTATGCCCCACCCTACATTTCCAGTGAAAGATCCATTAGGCAATATTTTTGGTATCAGCATTGAACTGAATGACTCCTTACAAGAGTGTGAGCTACTAGCGAACCCACTGAGAATCAACGCCCAACTCTGCAGCTTATATTTGTGCTCGTAGCTTTTTTGACCATTGCTTTGGTTTTCCAGTGAGGCTGCATACTGTATGCACGTGTGTGCATGTTCACATTGTGCATGTCAGCTTTGTTATTTTACATATTATATCATTAGCTGCTAAGGTTAATTAATACAATGGTGACTTTCTGCACCCTCATGCTCAAAAATCAGTCCATGCATTTGTAACTGACATAACCACGGCGAAAACTGCTGACCAACTTTAAAAAATGAATCAGGATTTGCACACAGCCTCTGTATCTTATTAAGCCATGGTATACACTCTGAGTTGTCCTGATATTGCTGGGACACCCACTGCATTTTCATTTACATGTACAACATACTGTCTACACACAGTACTGCAGTTTCATTCTGTTGATTGATCAGCTGGCAGGTGTTCATTAAGATCTTTCATCAGGCACCTCAAACATAATTCCAGTGAACACTTATTCCTGTTATATTTTTGGCAAGGAGCCATAGTAAATTGTAGGTGTAACAAAGTGCTCCTACTGTGGGTGAGCTGTTTTAAATCACATTCTTCGTACGCTTGCTTTGCAATGCTACGTGTGTGGCAGTGCAATATCTAGTTTATTTTTCTGTTTCCTTTATATTGCTTTTTATGCTCTACATTCATCACAGAATCAAAAACTCTGGCCCTCCATTTTTGTGAAAACACACACACACACACACACTGGTCTCTGTCATTACAGCCCTGCCCTCCATGCTCTCTGTGCAGCAAAGTGAGGCAATGCTACGCACTGCCTTGGAGCTGGCTGTTGAAACAGGGCAGCCATGATATGACAGCTGTTATTTCATGGATGGTTTCTATATTAGTATAGGTGTAAGCCTTTCAAGTCTAAACACACGTCCACTTAGGCTTAGCTGGATCCGTCTGCATGAGAAGTGGAGCGTGAGACGTGGTGGTGATGTCTTACAGTGCAGAATGGGAGCGTGGTGGAGGGCTCGTCGGGTCGGATAAGTAGCCGTAACTGTGTTTCTGTGTCAAAAATGACTCAGGGAAAACTAGATGTGCCTGACACTACAATACACCATGAACCTGTAGACAGGAACAAGAAATAAGAATTTACATTATGCAAGTCACATACCAGGTTTGCAATGCACTGTACTCTTGGTCCTCATGTCTGTTAGGTTAACATTTGCCAATCAAAACTGCTCTATTCTTTTTTAAATATTAGCCTACATTTCTGGGACTTGGCAGAATAGTATTTAATGTTTCACTTGGGGGTTGGACAGAATTACAAATTTACCTGAGACACTGTCACTATTTGTAGGTCAGAGTAGAGTTTCTGATTTCTAACCTTTTTTTCATCTTTGCTTTTCAACATGACAATCTGGACATTAAATTCAGACCCACCTAGGTAGATACATATAAGGTAGATGAAACAGAACACCTTCGGACTGTCTTCTTCCAAAAAACAGTGAGCTCTGAAAATGACAACTTCTTATCAAACTCTGCATGCAAACACACACATTAAGGCATGTCTAATTTTTTTTTTTTTTTTTTTTTTAAGATTTTTTTTGGGTGTTTTAGCCTTTAATTGATAGGACAGCTTAAGCGTGAAGGGGGGAGAGATAGAGTGAAGGACATGCAGCAAAGAGCCACAGGCCGGAGTTGAACCCGGGCCGCTGCAGCAACAGCCCTGCACATGGGGCGCCTGCTCCACCACTAAGCCACCGACGCCCCAGGCATGTCTAATTTTTTACAGAATTTTCCCTATCATCTGGTGCGAAGAAATTACCAAAACAGGCAAAAATGTTCAATTTATAATCTCTCTGTCTTTCCACCGTCACAATGATAAAAAAAAAACAAAACAAAACATTAAAGCCACAGTGTGTAGGAATTTCTTCCATCTAACGCTGAAAAGGTATATTGCATTCAAACGGGTAGCGCACGCTAGCGCCTCACTGTTTCAAACATGTAATGCAACAACGGTAGCCGTGGTGTACCAAAAAGCTATGATAACATTGATGAAACCATGTCATCCGATACTTCATGGAGTATTCATTCAAGCTCCTACACAGACACCTGCAACACGAGTTGACAAACCCCCTCCTCTCCATGCTGGCTGCGTTTACAACATAGGACTGTTGGGGCAGTCCTATGTTGTAACCTCACACACCTCATCCCTCTCCTCGCATCACTGGGAAAGGCTACCCCGATTTTGACCCTCGTTTTTTGAATTCGCCGGTCACGTTGCCTTTTTGATTTCCTTTTGCGCTTTCTTGGCAACGAGGATTCCGTCTCCCGTGATGCTGCATGTGCATGATCCTGCATTATGCTCAAAGAGTGGGACTTTCTTATGCTGCAGTAGTAGTAGTGAAGCGCCTCTTGCTCCTCTCCTTCGGCTTCTCAGTCACACAGTGCTGGCCTGGCTCTCAACCAAAACGAGGTTGAGGGGCTGTATGTCCCTTGCTGGTGGATGTATTTTCAAGATGCCGAAACGTAATGGAACCCCCCAGACGACTTACCCGCCGATGTACAAATAAATCCGAA